CGGCTGCTTAAAATGTCCATAACTTGAGAACAAAAAATCGCCCGAACATTCCGTTTGCACTCCCTATCACAGAAGGGATTTCCCGAAACCATAAACCCAAAACCGAAAGCAAAAGGCCTCAGAGGAATTCTCTAACGATCTGCATTCCCTCGAAGTAAGCGCTGTGCCCGCACTAGTGAATACGGACTTGTAAGTAACCTTTTTTTTAAGTACACTACTCCAAATTTTATTAATGTTTATGGTTGGATATTGAGGTAACTGCTAACGATAAGTAGAAAACCTTACATAGGCCAAAAGTCTGGTCAGCAGAGCGCCTGTGCGAAGTCCCGTTCAAAACGCTCATAGCACGAGATTCGAGTCTTATAGCGGCCATACAAACAATATATTACAATTTCTGTTGGTAGCTCCTGATAGACTACTATATTACTTAACTGTGAATAAAAATAAATAAAAGGTAAGTTTTTTTGGAAATTGGACTCCAAACTTGCTAGTTTTTCGAAATATTCTTTTTTCAGGCACATGTAGCGCATTATATCTGTATTGCACAATATTGAAACTATACTCAAAAGAAAGAGCTTAATTGGAGCTTTACGGTGATGTAAAGATTATAAAGATATGTTGATTAGGTCAGACAGCACAGCTTGCTGAACTTCGTCAAACACCGTCGAAGAGAGGCGGTTTGACAAATAAAAAAAAATTAAGAATGTTATGACCTAGACGCTTAATCAGCATGAAAGAAGCATATTTCGAGAGTGTGCCCAAAAAGTTATATTGATGTAGCGTAAAAATAAAGGAAAAGGGATGGAGTGAAATATGGCACCCCCGATAAGCTGGAAAAACGAGTTTCCACTTTGGCCGCTTCAACAGCTAGTCCATAACTTGTGAACAACAAATCCGACGAACTTGCCGTTTGCGTCTTCTTTTATTATAGGAATTGCCCGATAACATGTATTTTTTTTTAATTAAAAATTCGACCCAAAATTTGTGCCTCAGTTGAGATGAAATCACCTTTCAGAGAACTCGGGCCAAATCGCTCCTGTGAAAACTACTCATCGCAACGAAAAAAGGATTGTGTCGTTTTGGTCCTGGGCCAGGGGCCCATTTAGGAAAATTATTGAAGTCTGGGATAATTAAGTTGTTAATTATTTTTGCGTAATTGACTTTTTTAATATTGTGTTTAGGGGCGTGGTTTCAATTACAAAATTGCTCAGCATCGTCGAAAAATACTGAAGCAATAAATTGCAGAACGATAGAAGGCATCCGAAGCATTATCTGGCTTTCTGAAAAACCGCACAAATTCGACGGGTTTTTAAGTTTCGGTCTGTTATCGGAGCGCATCTCGGCCCCGGCGGCACCGCGCCCCGTGGAGAGATAGTGCAACCAACCTCTGCAGCGCTGTCATCGCTCGGCACAGCAGAGGCTGGTTGCACTACCTCTCCACGGGGCGCGGTGCCGCCGGGGCCGAGATGCGCTCCGATAGCAAACCGAAACTTAAAAACCCGTCGAATTTGTTAAGTTTTTCAAAAAGCCGTAAAATGCTTTGCGTGCCTTCTATCGTTCTGCAATTTGTTGATTTAGTGTTTTTCGACGATGCTGAGCAATTTTCTAATTGAAACCATTCCCTTAAACACAATATTAAAAAAGTTAATTACGCAAAAATAATTAACAACTTAATTATCCCGGACTTTAATCATTTTCCTAAATGGGCCCCTGGCCCAGGACCAAAACGATACAAGCCTTTTTTCGTTGCGATGAGTAGTTTTCGCAGGAGTTATTTGGCCCGAGTTCTCTGAAATACTCTGTATATATGTGGGTGGTTTCATCTCAAATCGGGCAGGCTAAAAGGGTCTAATATATAATTTCGATGAAAAAAATATATGTTTTGGGGGCATTTCTCCAATGAAGGAGGGCGCAAACCGCATGTTCCCCAGATTTTTTGTTCTCGAGTTACGAAGCGTAGGAGCCGCAGTGGCAGAAACTAGTGTTTTTGCCTGCCGTCGCAGGTCGCGTGTTTGACACTCTCTGCTGGCGCTAGTGTTTTATCTACACACTTTTAACTTTTTCCCCTCATTTAATAAGTACTATAAAGATAATTTGACGTATTCAAATATTTTTAGGGAATTTGATTGTTTTTTTTTTTAAGATGTGAAACTCGTCACTCAGGTCAATTTTTGGTCAACTTTTACTGGTCATTACTTTGTCTGTACTTAAGGTAAATTTTCTTTCTTTGGCCCTATAGAAAGCCCGAAGCAAGCCCATTATAGATATAATAATATCATTATGATCTGTTGACTAGCTGCTCCGCTACCTTCACGTAAACGTTGTAAGAAATAAATGTTGAAAGCTTGAGGTAGATTCTCAAAAAAAACATTTTTGTAAATTTTTATTTGTTTTTTATCTTTTCTAGATATATTAGTCGACTACAAGAAAAAAAGGTAACCGGACGAAAGCTCACCGGACAAAAGCTCACCGGACAGAAGCTCACCGGACAGAAGCTCACCGGACAGAAGCTCACCGGACAGAAGCTCAATGGACAAAAGCTCACCGGACAGAAGCTCACCCGTTTTTTCACTGACCCGGACAAAAGCTCACCTCATTTTTTTTTTTTTTTTTTTGCTACCCCGGGTGAAAGACGGGCTGGGATAAAGTACGGACGCGATGGACATTCCACCATTTTTATGAGAACTGGCATCCCATCCCATGCAAAGGTGTGGACAGATAAGCCATTACAGATAGAAGGAACTATTTGGGACTAACATTTAGATCACTGAAACTGCCCAAGAAGCACGGATTTTGGCGAAGCAATGGCCAATGTCTGGCGATAGTCTTTTGGCCAGTGGCCAGAGAGTGGCCATTCACTGGCCAATGCTTGGCCGATGGCTGATGGCCAGTGGCCATTGGCCAATCGCCAGATAAGGGCGAGTCACCGGCCAGTCTCTGGCCACTGTCTGGCCACTTGGCCAAGGGCCATTGGCCGATGACTGGCCAACTCTGTGCTGCTTGGGTGTATGGAGCTGATAAGATCAAGCTTGCTTGACTCAAGTTATGTCGGAGCACCCATGTGCCACGCCCAAGAAGCTTCGTGAACCGAAGTTTTTGAACCCGAAGAGTGACCGAAGAAACGAAGTCACCCTTTCTCGACCTCGCTTTTTCAATGCGCTTATGTCACGCTAAACGCGCACATAAAGATTAGGCACAATGTCTCTTCATTACGAATGCATGGGTTTTCTTTAATTTAATTTATCGTATTTTAGTGTAGTACGCATGCACCTAAGTTGTCCGCACACGTGTTAAGACCAACATGAAATTTTCTGGCGAGCTTTTGTCCGAGTCTGTGAAAAAATGGGTGAGCTTTTGTCCGGGATTCAGAAAAAAACAACCTATAAATGTAATATTTTCGTTTATGTACTCTATTTGAGCCGCAATCGCGTGAAATGTGTGCTCATTTGACTTAAATACAGCAACCTACCTTACCTTTTTTTTTTGTGTTTTCAAAAAGGGACGTAAAGTAGGCGAACTTGTGATATTCATTGTACTTTAAAACTTGAAATAAGAGAGAAACCGCATAAGCACACTACAAAACAATGAGTAACAAGTCATCAAAGTTATGTTAACCAATCCTAGTTCGAGCCGGTTTGCCAGAATTGTGGACAAAATCTTGTAGTCTCACTTGTCAGCAGGCTCTTCAGTTTGTTTTTTTTTCGGTACAAACACAGTAACCATCTGCACAGGATGTCCATGGACTGAACGGTAGTCTTTTGAAAAAGACTGCTCAGTTCATCGGTACCCGGCGATTTTTACGGTGCCAAATTGTTGGCCTCTTCCACTTCAGACGAGGTAATCCGCTGGTTGATCAGTCGTTTGGTGGAGTCCGACAGCCTTGGCAGCGGACCTCCCAACTATCAGAGATTGTACGCCTCCCACCTCGGAGAAAAGGTCAGTGTACACCCTCACAAAAGCGTCCTCAGTGTCCTCCTGCCCACTAATCAGAGTCGCCCGCTTGTACAGTCGTTATCTTTTATCTACTAACGTTCTGCCGTTCCCTTGCTTTCAATATCTTGGTGGGTTTTCATCCCCATCTGAAGCCGTGGGTCTGCTGCGAATCAAAGCACGCCCCCACCCACCCCGTATTTTTCTCCAATACCTCAAAAATGCACCCCTTACATCTCGCATGTCTCGAGTGGAAACGGCTGGCGCCAGGTTCTCCTCCGCCACCAGTGAGCACAAATTCTTTGCAAGTGTTTTTCCTTTCACTTTGGCCGCTCTTTTTACGGTAGAAATATGCTGCCAATTACAACTCAATTATTCCCCATTACAGCATTCGCCAATTTTCCATACGTTCTTGATAAGCGTGGCAATACGACGACCGATTGGGTAGGAAGAACACTGGGTGCATGCGATTGGTTCCCTCTCAATTCGATGCACTATTCCGTCGCATTCAGGTAAACACAGCCCATGATAATCGGGTGAAAAATATATTTGCGGTGTTGGCGGCCCCAAGCAGGCAAAACTATGAAAAAGAAAACAGAAAAGCACGTAAAATACCAAGAAAGCAGTCATAAAATACAGGTTGTGGAAACAGAAGGGAGGTTTGTTGTGAAATTTATCAAATACTTTTACAGGCACCCCCAAATATTAATACCCGAAAAATTCAAATAAAACTCAATTTCTTCCCTGCCTCCCTGGAGAAAACCAAAATTCAGTACCCTTACTGATGTTAGCCTGAGACTGAGGCAGGAAAAGAGGAAATTTCAATGTTGAAGAGAAAGGAACAGTCGAGGATACGTCTCTAACACAGCTCTGTGTTAGAGACGTATCCTCGACTGTTCCTTTCTCTTCTACTTTGAAATTTCCTCTTTTCCTGCCTCAGTCTCAGGCTAATATCAGTATGGTTAATTTCCACCAGCTCGGCTGCGCACTCACTACAATATCAAGTTTCAGTACTTCGTTTCAAGTCTACCGTAGGTAGACGACCGGTTTGCCCAAAGCAGACACACACCTTTTAAAACTGGACTTTTTATTTGTTTTGGCTTGAAAAAAATAGTTTAATTTATGAACAGTTCCTTCAACCAGTTCACATACTTCACTAGGATATTGTCTCTCCAGAGGTTACAGACATTAGAAAAAACGAGTCTCGCGAAACAGCAGGGGAAAAAAACGCGAAAGTAATGCCATAGTGCTAGGTAAACAATACTTTGTTGAGAGAAGGAACATCTGGAGAGATACGCAACAGCAATAGCGCCAACAGGCCCGTTTCCTAGAAGACGTGACACTGGGAAGGAGTACTCCAGTTCCGAGCGTAAGAAAGCACCAAGATTGCTACACGCTTTATGGAAAAAAAAAAGGCAACAGCTTCTTGGAAGGCACGATTCTTGTTGGTCACCGATTACTTGCTGTAAAAATCGTTCCAAGCACGGATATAGCACACTAGTAAAGATCTTCAAAAAGGCAAAAAATCTGTGTACAGTATTCAGTAAAAAAAAAAACTCGTTTTCTAAGAGTTTCTGCTTTGCAAGAACATGAACCAGTAAGAGGGTAGTAGCAACAATGGTTTTTTTTTTCTCTATATTTTAAGGCATTCAATACCAACTCGGAGGCCTCGAGCACCACCCTCAAAAACGGTGCTCCTGCCATCCTGGCAACAGTCATGACCTCGGGCCCAACAACGTACACCTACGAAAACAGTTCCCAACGGGAATCCAAGCCTGGAATGCTTGCCTCGGTCTCTAAATCCCTGTATAAAAAAACGAGAAATACGGGCACCGACCAAAGCGATCCCGTTTCAATGTCGACGCCAGTGACGAAACCTTTTGCGCGAGTTGTAGACGGCGCAACATGGAAAAGGGGAGGTGGGGAGGAGGAAGGAGGGGGCAGGAGGTAAAAGATGGCGAGGACGGGAGAAACGGGAAGGGAAGCGAGGGTAGGTACGGTGGAAGACCAGGTGGATGTGGAAGACCGGTCTACATGTTCTCAAATTGGTCGACGCGGCGCTTTGTGTTGCCCTTGCGGATCTCGCGCAGGGTCTTGTACTTGTCGCGGCCCTGTCGGACGTTCTCCTGGTGGAGCATGTCGTTGCGCGTCAGCTTAGCCTCGTCCTTCATCAGGGAAAGCTCCTTGCTCAGGATCTGCAATGAGATGCAACACAAATGGGTTCGCTGGACAACACAAGACTGGCCGGGACGCCACACTTCAGAATCAAGCATTGAAAACCACACTGGCCACAAGAAATACTTGAAAGCTTGCTAGCAACGGTGATTGTAAGTACAGAAATACTGACAAAACACAAGGATGCACAAGAACACACTAGAAAATATAAGCTTTTTGAATGCTATTATCTATGAGACCCAGCTTAGCCCGCCCATCATATCAGTAATCAAAATCAATTAGTCTGCTGCCCACTAGAAGGCCAATAGCATACGTACATCACAATGAAGCCGATTTCCTGAAGTATATGCCTCATCATGAAACATTCAAAAAAGTTTATTTTGGAGCATTACTTCTCTATTATCCTTTGTGTTTTAACATTTCCTAACGGTGATGCTAGAGGTAACTGTTATGCAGTTTTTTTTTGTGTATCCTTCATAAATTACCTCACCAGAGTAACTTGACTTCCTTAGGAGCACATTCCGTATCAGTTCAAGGTCTTCATGGTTATTTGTATTAGTAGTTAAGAATCGTAGCAAGAGATACCCCATATGAGTTCAGAAATAAATGGGATGTGCAAAAACTAGCAATGTCAGGGTGGTTTGCTCTTGCTAATAGAAGCATAAGGCAAGACTGAACACCCCAAGGTCACAGAACATGGATGCAATTTCAGCTGCAATAGAGTTCCCTTTTTATGTACCCTGCCTTTCCCTGTTACCTAGCTCTAGAAATAAAAACTAGCATTTTTTTATCAACTGAAACACTCGTTCAATAACCTTACAGGTGGCCAACCACACACAAAACTTGTGCTGTTGCAACCCTCAACCTCAGAGCGACCTTGAAACTCCCAAACTGACTTAACATCAAGGGTATGCATGCATTTAACTAGCAAAAAGCTTGTCATACAACAAAATATTTAACAAGCAGGAAAAGGTGTTCAACATTCTTCAAAGAGGAAAAAATTCCTAGATTCCTGCCAAACACCTGCTAACGAAGAATCTGTCTCAGTCATGTTTTGTGATAAACGTGGTTCTGACGGAAGTATCGCCAACTAAATTTAGCAGGAAAAGCATGCCCGCCAAAGGATGTATGCTCTCCGTCCGAGACATTACGTTTGTGACGCTGCATCTCCTTTCAGAATGGTCTACCCCCAGCCGAGGCGGATTCTCTGCTAATAGCGAAGTTAGCGCACAAAGCAGTTTCATTTCTCCAAATAAGTCCATACCTCGAGCTGATCGCCTAATGCCTTCTTTTTCGAGACTTCTGTGGAACGTTGCTCTTCTCGGCGGAACAGTTCCTCGTCTTCGTTCTCGTGGCACGTCAGGTCAGCCCCTGCACCGCAAGGTAAGGGAAAGGGGAAATCGCATCACGTTTTAGAAATCTGAAGTGCATTACAATATGTGCATGAGCATCACTTGTGCATGTGCATGTGCATGCATGTGCATGCTTGTGCAATATGTGCATGAGCATCACAATTTCAAAGAGGTCTTTTGCTAAATTCTTTTAGAGTAGATACAGTCATAGATACTAAGAAATAAATACAAGGAAATGCTAACTGAATGAAGTAAACCTAAAGTCCAGGCCCATTTCTCCTAATTCAATCTGTTAATCTTCAAAAACAAATTTGGGTGTGTGCATGTTAAACAGCCTAGAATTTAGTCTGCCTCAACGGGCAACTCGTCTTACAAAAGTAGATGAGAAATTTAGCCAGTGCAGCACAACCCCTGGCCTGGGATCTTCAACGTGCACCATGCAGTAGTAACCCACGATCGCACGCCGGTATGATGCTCATTTAAATTGAAACCAGCAGGGGTGGAGGGTTCTGCAGTGAGCTTCCGCTGCATGTGTTTCGAGCTGGTGCATGCAAGCTCACTCAGCCACCAACCCCCCCCCCCCCCCCCCCCCCCTTGTTAATCCTCATTGAAACAGCCTCGCCTCTAGAGCAACTGAACGCTGATCATTTAAGGACTTTAGAAATCAAGTCGTTTCACGATTTGTGGCCTAGAACCAAGATACCCAATTTCAAAGATAGATATACCAATTTGGAAATTCCGCATCAAATGTGGAAATCTTGTAGTAATTGTTAAGCATGGGGCTCCACAAAATAAAATTTGTAGATCAAAGGAATTTTTAAAACTCATCAATAGTCTTGATGGCAATGCCTAGTCTTCTCTTGTTTGCTTTTTATACATTTTGAGGAGACTTCTAGCTTTCAAATTTATCTTTGGACATTGGGGAAATCAAGAAATACCTAGTCTGCACCGAACACCATACGAGATAAACAGTAAAAAAATGTCAAACGATTTGAGGCTACGGATATATGTTTCCAGAAGCCAAAAACAAGGGGACTAACAACTACTGTAAAACCCTTAATGTTCGCGAGCCCTCAATTTTTGTGAATTTCACGAATTGAAGAATTCGCAAAATTTAAGGGCGCGCGAAAATTTCGGTCCTTAAGATTTTCAATGCAGGCATCTGGAATTCGCGAAATTTAGTGGTCGCGATTATGTCATCTGTGACCGATTCGCGAAAAATAGAGGCCGCGAAAATAAAGGGTTTTACAGTATATCTTTCGTAAGACCAAGGAGAAAGAGTCCTAAAATCACCCGACTAGTGCATACATATATACAGGGTGTTTCAGGAAACGCAGGCCAAATCGCTCCTGCAAAAACTAAGCATCGCACAAAAAAAAAGGTTGATGCCATTTTGGTGTCTGCCCAAGAGCCCATTTAAAAAAAATAATGTTTTAAAAAAATAGTTGTTAAAATTTTTTTAGAAAGTAACTTTATTTGTTCATTTGAAGGCTGTAGTTTTAACTAGAAACTTATGGGGCATCATCAATAACCCCTATATCAACCCTTTTTAGACAGTACAAATCATGCCAAGCATTTAACCACGTTTTGAAAAACCCTTCAGTTTTGACGCACACTGGTTTAGGTTCTTATCCAAGCGCATCTTGGTGACAGCTGTCCTGCCCTCCTACGGCTGAAGTGCTGAAGTGCGGAACCGAGGCCAGCCCAAAAGTCAAAGTTCAATCTTGCAATGTCATGCTCTTTTTCGAACAGCGAGGCGTTCCTTATAGCCTGGCAATGCGCGCGCATGCTACACTTTTGTTTTTGTTTTCTAAGAGAGAGGGAAGGGAGGCGGGCGGACGAGACTATACTTTGTTTCACCTCATGTCAGAGCGCAGATGATGTTATGAGTAGAAGGGCCAATCAAACAGCGCAACGTCACGGCGTGCTCTCTGCACCTGATATGACTAGCCGGCAGAGGAGCATGCGCAGAGAGAGGGCGAATACCGGCTTATTCACTGCAGAGAACATGCCGTGCCTTTCTCGCTGTTTGATTGGCCCTTCGGATCGCGGCCACGCTCGGACCCAAGTTGAAACGAAGTATAGCGAATTGTCTGGCCTTGGTTCCGTGCTTCGGCCGTCGGAGGGCAGGACAGCTGCCGTCAAGATGCGCTTGGACGAGAATCCGAAACCAGAGTACGCGTCAGAATTGAACTGCTTTTCAGAACATGGTAAAATGCTTGGCAAGCTTTATACTTGTCTAAAAGGGGTGATTGGGCAGACACCAACACGGCATAAACCTTGTTTCTGTGTGATGCTTAGTTTTCGCAAAGCGATTTGGCCCGAGTTCTCTTTCAGGGCGTTTCCTTTTGTAAAACACCCAGTATACAGGGTTTTTCACGAAAGGTGGACAAATTCAATATCGCGAAAACTATGCGTCGCAACAAAAAAAAAGGCTTGTGTCGTTTTGGCCCTGGGCCAGGGGCCTATTTAAGAAAATTATTAAAGCCCGGCCTTGTGTCTGTGGTTTTAAGATGAAAAAACAAAAAATTACACTAAGACTTTAAAAAAAGGCCATCATGCTGGTGGGAAAATATAACAGTGGAGCAGCACTGCATGGCCTCACAATCCCAGTGACCCCGCAAGGTGTTTGGAAGACTACCCTCCCAGATGACTGTCGAGCACTCGTACATACACAAGAAGTGCGGCACTTAAAACTCTTTAAACGAAAGCAAGCATTGCGGCTATTGACAGCAAAGAACCATCATCGGACTCTGAAGAAGCAGACTAGTACACGGCATGTATTTTGGTGTTCGCGTTCGTTTCACTTTTCATAAACTCTGTTCTACGAGATATGTTAATCTTCATTATTTTACCTGAGCAGTAGAATCGGCAGCAATTTACTTTTTGAACATTTGGAAGCTAAATCTGCCTCGCGTTAGAATTGGGGGTGCAATAGAATCATGCAAACACGGTAGTACTAACTTGCTTACGAACTTGAAAAAAAAATCTGAGGGAAATCAAATTGAACATGAGACGACCAATACCAACTGGTCAGTCTGAAAACAAATATGCACTGGATTCTGCCTCATACTACAGTCCTTGGCAAGACGTGAGCAAGATTTGCCTCATAAGCCGAAGTCAAGAGTAAAAAATTGACCGGTTCTAGAAACATGAAACTGGCTGTGTCACCGTCACTGTACAGTCTTTAGGCCATTTAGAGAAAGAGGTTCAGCTGGACGCATAGAACATCACTTGTTCATGACCTGCCAGTGAGGTGAAACTTGGGATATGCACCAACTTGTGTTTACAAACTGGTCCACCCTAGAGGGGGCAGTGGTGCTGCACATGGGCAATGGGGTCTGGCCACACGTGAGCAAGAAGCACAGTGTCGATCAACAGACCATCAGGATGCAAAGTTGTCAGCGTCTACATCTGGTAATTAACACAGATGAGTTATACCACAAGAATTCTACAGTACTTATCACAGGCAATTGAATTACTTGTAATAAATTTCTTTATGGAGCAATGTTGAAGAAATTTTATTATTTTTATTATGCAGTAATCACAAGAGTAATTCAATTACTTTTTGAAATAATGTAATTACTTGTAACCGTTTTTTCCAACTCCCTCCCACAGTTTCTGGATTTATGGATTGCTTAGTCACCTTATTCGAGATAGAAATGCTGTTATATGTCCACTTTATCAGCCTTGAAATAGCCAACAAAGAATAAAACTACTGTTACAAAGCAGTACAAAAGGAAGACTCTTTGTTCAGTTTGTTGTGTTTCGAGCTTAGACTAAAATTCCGAGTCTGTTACAAAAGCCTCTCAGCGTGAACCATAACCGCTCATAAAGAGTCCACCCCTCCCCTCTTTAAAAACAAGAAAATCTGGCTGAAAACACCTTCACTGTGTGCCCGGAAGAGAAACAAAACTAGATAATGTCAAAGCTAAGCTGTGACAAGACAAAAGCTCTTTCTGACATGCTAGGTAAGATGTTTGATATGTAATGAAGCAATTCTAATTCATGAATGCACAGGGTCAGTTTTCAAACAAACAAAAATTGTGAAAAAGCTTTGTGTTCTGAATGTTGCAAACTTTATGCAAGCTTTGTTTCTCAATGTTACAGCTGATAATGACATGAAGCTTCTCAAGTAATCTGGAAAAGTAAAGGTTACCTTTTCAGGTAACTGTCAATTACTTTTTCTCTCAACCAATCCAATTAAATATTTTTTTAAAATCTATTACTTTTGAGCAATATGTATAAGACTGTACACTGCAAATATTTTCATGTAAGCCGCAACTAGCAGCAATCCATACTGCATGGAAGCAGCAGAATGGACACAGTCAACAATGGTCAACGTTGCCTCGGATATAGTGGTTACAATAAGCTAATTTAACCCAGACACCATACAAGTTCACAGGGCTCTGCAGACTTTCAAAGACTTCACATATAGTAATTACCACATAAACAGCATTGACCGTCGACATTGTGTACAGGCTGTTGTTATTTGAAAGTGAAGACAGTGGGAACGCAGCCCAAGTGGTTTGGACCACTTTAAGGTGGTTCCACATCTATAGCGGTACCGAGCTGCTCTCTGCCACATGAACCCCAACACAGCAGACAAAGCTTCTATACTACCTGCCGTAGAGCCCGCGGGTTAATGAATGTCCGATCCTTAATCCAACTCCGAAAGTTTATGAGCCCGCGAACCAACAAAGTCGCGCAATAAAGCACACCCAGTAAAAGCCAACAACGACAAACGAAGTGAGCCATTCCCCCCAGGTCCCCGAGAGCACACAGCGTACAGGCTGGGACACGACACAGGACGTACACGACGGGTTAGGACCCCAGAGAAGCAGGAGGAACAGAAAAGCAGACCTCACCCCACACCAGTCAGCAAGCCACCAGGGAGCGCAAGGTTAACTTCACTGGGAGTCAATGCCTCCCTACAGGAACCAATGCACTCCACCACGATACAGGAAGCTCTCCTCATGCCCCAAAACAAGGAGACTGGTCTATTGCAACTCGAAGTGCACCGAGGCAAGACAATGGCGGCGACAACTACATCCCGCCGACATACGGCAGACTGGATAAGGATCCACCACGCCCCAGATACTTTCGTGCACATGCATGGCTTAGTTAGAGCAACTGACCGAGTTTGGTACAGGTCTAGTTCGGCAGCAAAACCTATCTCCAACATGAACTTAAAAAATTGCGTGGAATACTAACAGTAAAAACAAATAAAACACACCGAGACACTAGGCCAGCACAAGATAAAGCAGACAAGCATGTTCAGACCTCGAATCCATAGCTGCTGCCTCCCACAGATCTTAAATTGCAAGGTTTTCATTCCCCCTACTGCGTAAATTATCCACTTGTTATCCATGAAGAAGACTTTCCTTGGCCGAGGGCCAGAAAACGTTGCGTCCAACTCAATTAAATCGGTGACCACGAAGGCAATGGGACAAGGAAGGCAACTATTACCATTTTTTGGTGTCTGAAGACTGATCGTAAATTCACAAGGACGGGAGCTATACATCGTAAAGCATGAGAAAGTCTTCATAAGGACGGGTGGAACGACCGGTCAACGAACATGGAGCAGGGCCATTTGCAGCCGGAGGTTCCTATCTCCAGCCCTATCCTCTCGGCGACTTCTGCAAAATCGATGGCACCGGGTGGCTATGACCCCAAAACCCAAAACCATCGCAGCAGGCCTATATGCCAGTCTGCACGAGTGGGGAAAAACATTAACTGCGTCTGGCGGTATAAACACGAAGTTGCGAAAGTACAAGTGCTGAAAATTGCAGACATTGCGACGCCAGTTTGTCCTATTGGAGGGAGAGCACGACAATGGGAAGGGGCGGGGCAGAGCAGAGCTTCCCGGAGGGTGTGTGTGGCGCGCTCACCGTTGGCCAGGAGGGGTGCGGGGTGCTCGTCCTCGCTGCTCAGGCTGCCGGCCTTACCCAGTTCCCCGTTGGCCAGGGCCTCGTCGTTCTCCCCGTCGTCCTCGGCCTCCATCACGTGGTGGTGCTGGGGTGTGGAGGAGGCTGCCACCAGGGCCGCCGTCGCCTCCTCTTGGCGCCTGCGGGCGTCCTCCACCTCCTCCTGCAGCCGCCGCGTCTCCTCGTCCTTCGTGTTCACCTCTTCCTGCATGCGCTGAACCTCCACCTGAAACGGGCCAAAAGCCGTCCAATCGGGGAGGTGCTCCCGTGGCACTTCTTGCGTAGGCCTCCGTCACGGGTTGAAGGGGATGGGACTGCAGAACAGATGTCCCAAGTTGGGGAGGTTGGTTCTGTGTAGTGAGTCCAGACGTGCTTGGCAGCGTAGCCAGGTACGCGCGCCTAAGGAAAACTACCGTAATATCTAGGGAAATAGACCACATAAAATCGAGAAAAATTTGGGCAGAAAGGAGTGGGCCAACTTTCAGTGTGCACCTGAGAAAAGTTTAAAAATATGCCATTTTTAGATCATGTGCTTCTGTCAGATGTTATCATGGTGAGGGGCAATGAAGCAAAGATTACTGTAGTTAGCAATGTTTGCTTACATCCCACCATAAGTAACCAGACTCATTTATGCCAAGGTCATCACTGATCCAAACACTATATAAGTAGGAGGGGGCTACCTTTCGGTGTTTAAAATAAAATGGCTAATCAGGCCAAAATAATGGTTGGGTTACCTTTCAGGGGTGGGGCATCTCTCGGGATTTAATGGTATGCATGCCTGCCAAGTTTGGAGAAACAAAATGCGGGAGAATTTCTAAGCGGCTGGGGAGGGGGAGTTTGAGTTTTCCAGGAGATTCTTCTGTCAATCGTACAACCCTACAAATTCGTCAAAATTCAGGAGTCTCCCGGGTACTACAGGAGACTTGGCGGGTATGGGTGTGCGAATTCTTTGAAGCAGTGTACATTAAACTTGTGCATGTACAGTCGGCATCAAAATGAGCTGGTTCGACGAAACGACAGCCTGAGCTCCAAAATTCCACATGGGGATAATGGAATGAAACGGTGCAAAAGATACAAAAAGGAAAGACAAACTGGACAGGACAGAGCACTGTCCGGTTTGTCTCGCTTTTTGTATCTTTTGCGCTGTTTTATGCCATTATGTACAACGATTACCAGCTAGACCAGCTATCAACCTTATTCCACACGGGGAGCCTCTGTCGCGATAAGCCACTGAGAGCGAGGCTGGAACGGGCTACTGCGATTTCATGCACAGAGAGGCTGGTAGTAATGATAAGCCATATGGATAGGTGCTGAACAAGCCAAACTACTGATCTTCAAAACAAAAAACATGAATGGCATGATAAAGCATCAAAACCAACAGCCGGCCAAACAGAGGCGACAAGTTCACCCTAGAGATGCGAGACTTGTTTCTACCAACCTCCCCCATGGACGAAATCTCAGCAGTCCACTCCAACCTCGCCCTCTGCAGCTTATCGCGACAGCAGCACAACATGTGAAATTGTTGCTGCTTCGGCCGGCGTTACGACGACCCAGCTAATTTTGATGCACACTGTACATGCATGAGTTGGATGTACATTGTAGAGAATAAAAGCATAAAAACATAAAGGACTAGAAGAATAATGTACACCACAGAGCAATTTGTGGTATATTCTGTGGTGCATTCTACAACCTTTCTTCCCTCCTCAAGTTGCAAGGAGGAGGTCGCTAAGACTAACTTTCAACACTATACATAACATAGCTGTATTATGTCAATCCTTCAGAGAACCAAGGTTAAACATCAACCGACAAATCGAGCTTTAATGGGTTATAGTCAATTTTGTCCGGGCACACAAATTACGACTGCTTTCAGAATTGCACCAAAGTGAATCGGCAGCTTTCATTACTTCATAAGTGCCCATACCCCTATTCGCTTTACATACGACTGCAATGGAAGCCACAAGGGAGAGCTCATGTCTGCAGCCTTGCTCGGACGTAAAAACCGACAGATTACGTCAACAGCCTCCGCCCGGCCTCACCTGCTTGGCCCGGATGTCCTCCTCCAGCCGGAGTTTCTCCTCCGCCTCCATCATCTTGTCGTTCTCGAGCTTCTTCATCATCTCCTCGAGCTCGCGCTGCTTGAGCTCGAACTCCTCCTTGGCTGCCTGGACCAGGCGCAGCTGGTCCTCCAGCCGCCGGATTGTGTCCTGCGCCTCCAGCAGCTCCTTCTGCCGCTTCTCCATCTCGTCCTGCATCTGCCGCAAGCGCTCCGCATACTCCTGCTGCTTCTTCTCCGCCATCTCGCGGGCCTCAGTCTCCTTGCGCAGCTTCTCCCTGCAGAAGAGTCACGGGCACACCGTCATTCCGGGCATTGTGCCAGATACATGCATCCTGCCAAGACACGGCAAGCTGCAAACGGTGTGCTGGGTTCTTGCGCTTCTTTCGCATTCGTCGAGTCTGATTTCAGTCAAATTTGGGGGTTTTACGTGCCAAACCGACGAAGGGCATCTGGCACGCCCCTGCGGAAAGCCGAAAATTAATTTCGACAGACCTATTCTTGACGAGCAACCGAAGGCCGGGATTCTAGCTCGCCGCTTGAGAAACCGTGGGCCAGCACTGAAGTCTCCGAGTCTTTTCACTTTCGTAATAACAGCCTTCAAAAGAAATTACCCAATTTTGTTAGTTTTAAAACAAGCCATGCCTCGAGCATAACAGGTTGGAATACAGTTAAATCTCGCAACAGCGAACACTGCTTAACGAAATTCCTGCGACACCAAAATATGTTTGGTTGTTCGTCAGATGTTCATAAAGGATAGCAATATCAAAATTGCTCTCCACAACAAACAACTTTACTCGTCTTTCTTTCCAACAAAGCTTTCACTAAAAAAAACTTAATACGGTCACCTAAATTATGATCTAAAGAAATATCAAATCATTTTTATGAATTTAGAAGAGATAGTACTTGTGCAAAAAAATAAATGGTTCGGTAGACTGCAATGGTAGGTATTCGCATGGTCTGCAAGAAACCAAACGACGGGCTACTTTCACAAACATTGCGGGCTACGCTTGGGTAAATGTGGCAGTGGAGGAACTTGCAGAAAAGTAACTGTCAATCTTTGGCATACCGGATTTACTCACATAATGATCACACTTTTTTCCCGAAAAATTAACACATATTGGAGGAGGAGGAGGGGGGGGGGGGGGGGGGGGCATTTATTAAACGGGGTAAAATTTTTGCATTTACACAATTTGTGCAAATGTCATATTAGGTGCCAATATGACATGGCAAGGTACTGTGGCAAGTCTCAACTAATGGAGGCGAACCCACGGCTGGTTGGGGGTGCGCCACAGTAACCATGCTTTACAAATTACGAACCTTTTTTAGGGCTCTTTCGGCATGCCTTTTGCCGAAGAAAAAGTGCCCTACAAAGCTCAATAAGCACCGAGAGAAACGCAACCGTTCTTAGGTCCACCGTAAAATACCACTCAATCTTTGGAGATAATCGCAAAAGAATGGGGGATGGGCGCTTGTCCGGTCATCAATTTTACATATAAAGGTACTGCGAGTATTTTCTCAGATCTTACAAATTTGGTAATGGGCGCTTAATGTGGAATGGTCAGATGTGTGGTATTCTACAGTAACCACTTTCACAATTTCACTGTACGAAAGCGGACCACAGACGGCGTGTTTGTCAACATAAATGCATCCGATGGCAAAGAATGTTAGAGGCTGGGCAATTCCTCGACCCAAGCTTCGTCAAGTGTGCGCGCCGCTCGGTTTCACGGTTGATCATTTACGCGACTACGCCACTATGCACTTGCAGCCATTATGAGAGCAGCTTGGCTTGACTTTGCCTGACCGCTTGGCGGCAAAAGAAAATTGGCTTGGAGACTAGCTAAACTGGACGCAATTTGACTCGCAGAGCCGAAAATTGAAGGAGCGTTCATTACGCCAGGGGGAAAAGTCCAAATATTGGTACCCGTTGTGGGGGGTGCGCTCAAGATGCAAGTGCATTCATTCTTCCAGTGAATACAGTAGCAGTGTAAGCTAATGCCACCAAATAAGCTACACTTCGTATCGACACTCCATTACCCGACTGTCCTACGAGTGCCGCAGTTCCGTTGCCTACTGCAGAACAAGTGCAATCTGTAATAGCTACAATTTAAAAACGTTCAGCCTTTCCACTCTCGTGAAGAAGGAAGACCTGCGGAGCTGTACTCTATACAATGGGTGCTTCTTCGTCGTCTGTTTTTCGCGCCGTTTCCTACGATGAATTCCCACCAACGCGCCCAACTATCCACCCTTCTATTATAGCTGGAAAGGTTGCCGCCATCTACGAGCGACGGCGGAAAGCATACTGGTTGTGTGCTTGCCGCCGTCACTCATAGATGGCAGTAGCTGTCCAGGTAGGTTTGTGTCAACATACATGGACACGATCCTGGGGAACCTAGCCCTTAACAGCTCTGCTGTAAAATTCAACTTCCCGAGCTTCGGATGCAATGTCAAGAAGCTCAGGCAACATCGTTTTGAAGTGTCACAAACTGTTCTAACGTCCCTGGAGGACGGAAGAGCATTTCCAGTCGCCATTTCAGATAATGCTACATGTAGGTTCTCAAACTGGGTTCCCAGAAACCCAGGACCTCTGGAGTAGTGTTGAGGATTCTAAAAGCTCCCAAATTTTTTACTTTCCCTACATGGAGTTCTCTTCGTTTTTTTTGAGCAGATGCGAGCCACTCACTGGTGCATCACCAGATGTAACTATCAGTATGTACATTACTGCTCGCAAGGTCTGCAGGCTTCTGCACTGCTGTACTGCGGCATCAGTACAGCAGTGCAGTACATGCCAGGACCAAGAGAGGTACAGTGACGTGCAATATGAAAGACCCACTGGGAGTGCGTGGCCGACGCAGTGGCTGGGGGGGGCGCTGCGAGCGCTCCGGGCAATTCCATTCTGCTCTCTCGAGGCTCAGCACAAACTGATAAGCATTTTGCGCGTCACTTCTTTGGTGGCTTTAGTGTAGGTGAAGGCAAGAAGAGTGAAGTCCACATGTAGCGTGTTTGGTGTGCCTTCAGTTGAAAGAGGACGTAAATGGCACTCACCGTTCCTGCTTTCGGGCTAGCTTCTCTTCCTGGGCCTGAGCCTTCATCTGCTGCACCTCGATGGTGTCTGGTTTGCGGCGACGCATGTACAGTTCATGATTGCCCATGCACAGCGCCAAGATACGCTTGTTGATGCGAAGTCGGGGGGCGAAGAAGACAAAGTCCTGGTGGGACAAACAAACAAAAAATTTAGAATTGAATTCAAGGGCAATAACAAACTGCTATGGAATTTCATATTATAGCAATGAGAGATCTTGGCAGATGTCGCCAAGCGGATGCTACTCATTCAAACTTCGCAAAGTAGCATCCCAACTTCCAATTTGAACCTCTGGACAGCAATTGTTCCTCGTCTTGTCCAGTATGAATTAGAATGTCCCAATGCAGTAACAGCATTTCATGAAAATATTTTCTGCTGAAGAGAAGTCTGTCTGCAATCAAGAACATACCCAGACATGTACTAATTTCTAGGGACCTGGCAAAAGGACCAATTAGATTGCTCTTTGTTTTGACATAAAAAGAAAATTTTATAGCAAGAAAACAGCTAGACAAACAAGCACACCACTTCACACTGCAGACGTCAGCAAGTGTCACATTTTTCTTTAGGAAAAGGGCTTTGAAAGTATCTGCTGTGGAAATAAGCCAATTACAGTTGACTGCACATGATGCACCAAAAAAAAAGTGGCAACAAGAAACACTGTCTGATGACCTGTGTTTCATGTTGTTCTTGTTAAATAAGTGACAGATTCAAAATAAAAACCACCACAGCTTCGTGGTTTAAAAAGGTTGAAATGGCAACAATCTCTGCCCTCTATATTGAGTGCCTCCATCACCTCGCTGCATTTCGCGTCATGTTAGCAGGCAGTTTAGGTGATGACACCACTTCTCCCAGATTGAGAAATTTACATGCAACAAGTTCCCACGGCTGTGGCATGTGGTTAATAGAACCAATTGGTTTATCTTGAAGTGTGGAAAAAGCACCTATAAAACAGTTTTTAGCAACTTTTTCACACTCCCTAAGCTCCATGGTTCACGTGACAGTCGAGCGAAAATGTCCAAATACTCACGCAGACGGCAAGAGCCAATTTAACTTACCGGAGCCTTCTTGTCGATGGGCCTGATGACAAACTTCCTGTCGTTGAACGAGATGTTCCTGATTTCACTCCAAGGAAAACCAATCTTGGGGGTCAGCCTGGGTGGTACAAGAGGAGCACTTCTTGCAGCACCCGACATACAAAACCAATCCAAGGGCTTCTGCAAACTACTGCATTGTCATATCCATTAAGAGAAATTTGCTAGAGTCAAGAAGGCTAAAAAAAGGGCGCACCTATACGATAAAAATATTACATTTGAACCCATGCCAAAATCCGGGTGCCGGACATAAACATAGGGCTGGCAACAAAAGTGTCTTCTGGTTCGCAGTAAATACTAAAAAATGCCAAGACGTCAATGTCTTGGCTGAAATTTAAAAGAAAGGCATGCAGTATTTGATTAACGATGAGTTTTTTTTTTTTTAATTTTGCCCTCGCACATTCCTCATTTATGGGAATAGGCAATTAAAATGGTTCAAGCATGGAAGCAAAGTGCAGATGTAATTACTACCATCCTTTCAATTTATTACACTGCTGTTTGCGATGTTCTTGCATATTTTACACTGGAACATTGTCCATGGAGATTACATGTGTACCGACAGATGCAATCTTTAGATCTGTGAAATTAAGCTATTTATTGTGCTGACTTGTCAGAAGAAAAAAGCCTAAATGAAGGCGTAGTTGTAATGTGCTACCACTCATTGACACTTTGCAACGAGCCAAGTAGCCGAAATCGGCAATCGACTTTGATTTCGAGCAGGCAAATTCAGGTGCAACCAACAGCACGGTCAAGGCTACAGCATTGGTGTAGCCAACATTGAGCCAAACATGATCACCACTGTCCTTTTTTTGTTTTTACTTCTCCGGGCAAGTGTAACTGGCGACATCGGAAAAGTTTCCTTTCAGCACTCGGCAGTGTCCACGTGATTGAGCGTGCTTCTTCAGAGCCATCCGGCCATCCCAGTTACTGATGTTTCCCGCATCACAACCGCCATCGTCGCCTCACCGTTTGCAATTATTGTCTTTCGGAGTTTTGTTCACACTACGTGCACAGACTGAGGTTGCAGATGCACAGACGTCCCATATCGTAGACACCAAAACGTGATAAAGACTGCGGTGCAGATGACACTTGAGCCTTGCCCACACCCGCCCCAACGGTGGCTTGCCCGGGCATAGAGGATCACGAGACACCTCATACCACATGATAGCCATGTTTTCGATGGTCTGAGGCCAACAATGCGAGACGGAGCCGAAGCTCTGTTTAGATTTCTGCTAAGGTTTGAAGTAAGATTTAATATATATCCCAGTTTTAGCAAAGGAAATAATGTAGAGTCTTATTTGTGCTTTTTAATGTGAAATCACCGATTATCCCGAAATTTTCGGAATTGAGTGGAGTTGCCCTGAAGAGGAGACACTGGCTTAAAAATTATTTTTTTAACTACTCGTATGATTCGAATGAAATTTGTAGGGGATTTTCTACGGCAATTTTCTTAGAAGCTAGACATTCGCGTATGAAGCTGTAGCGCTCTTCCCTAAGGAATCTATGGTATACAAATGAAGCCAATAAACCAATTTTATTGCTTGAATATAAAGTAGGGAGCATAGGACTTCAGGCTATCTTGTTTACAATCTTAATATGTTAATTTATAAAAGAAAAACTAGGCCCATAAATGAGGAGCATGGCCTTTATATATAGCTTTTCAATACATCGATTTTTCTTGATTATGACTAAACTTAATGCCATACAAAGTGGATAGCACAATGCTCCAGTAAATTTCAGTTTATATACATCTAGAACAAAGCATAGGAACAGTCGAGCAAAAAATTTCCTTCGTACAAGATTGTAGCAAATAAGTGAAACCGAGTGGGCCTGTCCTTCAGCTGCCTGAATATTTTGTCTCAAGGATTGCATGCACCACTTTGAAGACTATGCCATGTGCCTTCTATGTTGCCATATGCCTTCTGCTTTGCTTTTGAGACCTTGGATTGCACGTCCTTGTCAAAGTGCTGCATCTGGTAACTCCCAGGCTCTATCACAGTCTTGAAAAGATCCCCTTCAAGGCCATTAGGGCACAAGTAGAACTCGAGCCCTGCGAGTAGAGCAGCCGTTTCGACCGTCCTTCGAGACACCAAGTCTACCTTCAAACGGCACCTCTACTTTAGTCTTGAACGACTTGTCTGCATTCCGAGTTCACTTTGGCACATCTCTCACAAACATTGTGCCAGGGTGAATGGTTCTACAGATGAACCAACTTGTTTGCAATTTCCCTAGAGCATGCAGCGCTGTGTCACTGTGGCTTTCCCATTGTCTCCAGTGATGTATGGTGGTTGTGATGGCACCATGAATCTTTTCCTTAAATGCTGGGGCTCTTCATCAGTAGTGTAAAAGTGCAGGAGACTGCTAAACATGCTTTTCTGCATCACCTGAACTTTTGGGGCATTTACCTTTACTACATACGCATAATAGTTAACTTTTTCATGACCACAATGATGAACTTGCACCATCCACCGAGCCCTTTTTTCCTTGAAAGGTCTTCGATCAAGAGTTCATCCATACATCAAGCACGAAGAGGTTGGTGTTCGAAAACAGTCAATAATTGTTGGCTGGCAGCTCACCAAAATGGCTCCAGAATGCATTGCGCATTGCCATCCCGTCAAATATTTTGCGTTGAAATAAATGTTCAGTATATACTTTCGAATTTTTCTGGAAGGGTGAATTATTAGTTTATGAAACCTAAAGCGTGAAATTGGAAAACTGCACTTCTTAAAAAGATTTACATTTATGCCGGTGTCCCCCCCTTGAAGAAAACTTGTGTTCCCATTTTCAACTTTGTTAGCTGCACTGATGCTTTCACATCTTTTGGAATGGGTGCATCCTGCCTATCATAATGTGCCGGAAATATGTAAAGACTAACAATGAGGCAATGCGAAGTAGGCTTCTCTGGTGGACCTTCAGTCAGTCTAATTTGGGAACTTTATGTGCATGCATACCTGAAAAGTTTGGAGAAACCAAACCCAGGAGACATTCTAAACTGAAGGCGAGGGAGGCTTTTTTTTAATGAAATTATCGCACTGCTTCACTGGCGAGATACAGCTGGCCTTTGTTATCAATACTGCCGTCCGTTGTGCCGGCAAGTGTGCGCGCGTTTTCTGGGCGATTTTTTTGGCAATTATATACAATTGTGTGAAATGGTAAAAATCCGAGATTCTCCCGAGTAATACGGAGAACTTGGCACGTGTACATGTGGCATACCCCAGAGGAGGACTGGAGATTAATTGTAACCAGCTGGTGATCTTGACACGCAACCGAACTCTGTTACACGGCACCTTCTCCACGGCAAGCCTTCATCAAATTGCAGGCTCCTCAGCCGGGATTCGAACCCGCCACCCGAGGATGCGTAAACCAGTGCATTGCCACCACCGAGGCGGGAGAGACATCTAAGTGGAAGTTAGCAAAAATTTGTGGCATCAATTAACGGCAACAAGATACAGCGATTTCTTTACTTCTTGCTCGGCTCCAAATGCTGAACTCACTTGTCCTCCTTCTCGTAGATGTTGAGGCCCAGGGCGTCAACTCCCAACCAGAGCTCGGTGCCCTTTTTGTTCTTGATCTCAAAGTAGTTCACTCCATACATCTCCAGATCCTGGGCGATCTTGAGGTACTCCATCATGGCATCTTCCCGGGGCAGCTCCTTGTGCTCGGCCCACCAGTTGGTTATCCTCTCGTCCCACTGGTCCTTCGACAGCTTGTGCTGGTCCATCACCCTGGGAACAACGAGCAAAATGTTGCCCGACAATCGCCGAAAAAAAAAAGTGCCCCACTGCTGCACGGAGCCCCTCCAAACATGCACAGATCAATACTAGAGTTCCTCCAAACTACCAGCTGTATCTTCCTCCTCGTAACATTGTAGTCCATGCCATCCAGATTTGTTGAAAAACTTGCATCTGAGAAAATGCAGAAATGCCTTCGGCGGCATTCCCATCACAATTTCCAGCCTGGTGTACAAAAACATTTGCGAGCCACACAGAAACTAACCTCTCGTACGAAATCTCTGTTTCGATCGCAGCTTTACCAGTTTAGCTTCGAGCACACTTGGACACGACTGCAGTAAGAAATTCTTCCAAAAAGAAACCATTAGTCTCAGGCAAGTTAACAATGTCACCAGTCTTTGTCCCGAGAGGCCTAATTTCCTAGAAAAATTATGTACAGACTGAGCGTCCGTAGCTAACGAAAGTTCTTCCTCGTAGGACGAAAGCGAACAAATGACGTCAAAAGTGGCACCTCTGGGGCAGGAGCCTGTCGCTGGAGAGGCAGCCTGGCTTGTGAAGGTCTGCACTGTAGTCTCCATATTTCGCCTGGACAGCGTAAGAGGCCAGCAGCACGGACGTCTCGGGTGGACAGTAGATCTCGTCAGTCAGGATCACGCTCTTCACTTGCAGGTAGAAAAGGCGCTGCAGCACACCATCGCAATCGTTAGTCAGAGATCATCCGCCTCGCGGAAGCAAGAAGGCTGCACAAATGCAGACTGCAAGCCCCTCCTATTGCTTCTTTAGTTACTGAACGCGTGGGAATTGCGACAACCATCGTGCCCAAGTGGCCAGTACGGGGAATAGACCTAAAGAAAGGCCATGCACCTGATTTTAAGGGACTCTGTGGACTATGGGCCAGAGTAGTACATCACAAAATGGTCCATTTGCTAGCCATGTTTTCTATCTCTTATGTCGTCCCTCCTTAACCCCAAATGGTGCAGCAGTCTACAGGCTGAGGTAGCTGGAGTTCTAGCACACATGTTGCACAAATTTTGGTAAAACAAATTTTATACTCTGCCTTGGCTTACAATGGACCGCAGCAGACGCTATGAGCCATCGGAGCCAATGCAATGTTACGCGTGTCTCGTGCGGCCTTTGGGAGGAACGCAGCGACTCAAGGGGGTGCACAGTCACGCGACATGTTGATGGTGCTAAATTGGCTACGATGGCATGTACCAACCGCTGTGGTCCGACGTAAGGTGAATCTGTGCAGTCTACAGCTTACTAGATGTATGAACTCCACTTATGCTTATTTGGGAAACCTGTACTTTCCACAGCCCTCCCCTATTGGCAGGTGCCCCAACGAACAAACTTGGCATGAAATTTGAGGAGGGGATCAACCCAACCCCAGCAGAGAGCACTCACCAGAGTTATCTCCTGGATGAGCTCCTCGGCAACATCTTCGGGGTAGAATTTGGCACGGAACTTGAAGAGAAGGGGGTTCTCCTTTTTCACGTCTTGGCTGAGAACCTAGGTACAAGAGAGCGGGCAATCTGTGACGACACCGTTCGACGCGTTCGGCGGCAGCCGACTGACGAGAAAGTGCACTGGTACCTTCTTGTTCAGCTTCAACCACGTCACGTAGCCTTTGTTGTCTAAGTACTGCAGGCCAAAGAACCAGATTTCTCTGAGGCCTATTGTCTTGACCACCTGCAAAGAAAAAAACGCAAGAGACGATAAAAACTTTAATGGGTGCCATTTGAAGTCTGAATGGCACTACTCATGGAGGGTGCCTGAAACACCTTGAAGACTTGCAAAAATAGCTAGGTATATCACAGGCATGCAAGATTAGTTTGCAACTTTGAGTGCTTCGACAAAAGCAACTTTGAAGATGACAGTTCTCAAACAAACCCCTAGGCTCTGAAATGCATGATTGAACCAGCATGGTAAAAAAACAACGATTTCGTAAACAAGTCATCACCTGGTCAAAGAGTTGCTTTCCTGTTGTGCTGGCCTGGATCGCAAACTCCAGTTCCGCGTCCATGGTGGTCACCCGTACGTTTACCTGGACAGAAATGAGCACTCAAAGTGTGACACACATTCTTTAAACATTCCACAAATTACTCTTTTGAGGGGATGTACTACGAGTCCCTTTAGGTAATGGCACAACAGAACTTTGAATCAGAAAAAAGCAGCAATGAGCCATGCCTGCAGCTATAATGGTGTTTCATTGATCCTGAAGGTTACTGCGAACTTCGTGAGGGCACATTTATGTGCAGGCCTGAATCAGGTATTACTTTTATGGCATGTGGAAGTGCTTCTTTACCAGAAGGCAGCAACTATAAATTTCTGCAGTCCTGGTGGCCAGTAAAGGACCACTATGAAAACAAACTATTGGCCAAGAGTTGCATACCTGCCAACATAGCAACATAAACATTCAAGAAACCGCCGCGCGCGCAAGGGGGGGGGGGGGGTGAAAAATATTTTGTTTTGTTTTTACAAGAAACCTCGAGAAGAGGCACTCTGTGCGAATCATACCGTTTTCACAGTTGTTCTGGAGTAAACTGCTGGTGGTGCCCTGCCCTTCTACGACACGAGCATGGTTCTGATGCTTTCGTGAAGCGATGTGTATCTTGATGTCAAGCTTGCCGCCGTGCGAAATGCTCACACATCACAGGCGCACATGGTACAGAATCCATACTTGTCAGCTTTCCGCAAAGCGACAAAGCACGGAAACTCAAGTAGCGTATGATCTCAGAAATACTTGCAAGTACTTCTTGGCTTTTGAAAGTACCATCGATCGTTCCAACATATCAGCGGCTCCAACTAAACTCGGGGAAACACAAAGAGTAGTTTGGTGTTCTGCACCTCACTCGACGACCTAACAAAGTCAACTGAAGCCTAGCGCACCCATGGTCATATAAGCCGTGTTCCAAAATGCGCTCCAACTCCAGCAGTAGAGGTTTCGTACCTTGGCGTTTGAAAATCTACCCTCGTTTTACGCTACTGCTCCGAGTTGTCACGTGGTAACCCGCCGGAATAACCTAAACCTACTCTCGAGTAACTCGCAATGACACACGCATCATGATTATAGCAATAAGGAGTCATTAAAAAAATTTAAAACTACGGCGGATACTTTTTGGGAGATTTGAGGTCGCGTCCGTACAATAGGGAGGTGACCAAAATTCGGGAGGGTCCTGGACAATTCGGGAGAGTTGGCAGGTATGGAGTTATGAGAATCAAAGCCCTGAACCCAAAGCAATGGGCACGGCTCAATGCTTTGTTCAACATCCTTGCAGATCTATTATGTTTTAGGCTACTGCCACCGCCTCAACCACCACAATAAGCTATGAATAAAATATAAAATCCAGCTTCCCCTGTCACTTCCAGTGAATCAGTCACCGCCGGAAGATTGCTTTGAATTCGAATGCTCAGGACTGTAATCTTTGAAACAGTGTAATCTGGACACAATGCAAGCAGGGATAAACAGCTGTTAGGAGCTTGTAAAGCAAAGCAAAATCTGTTAGTGCTGAAACAACCAGAAGCTTCACTCCGACGCACATATTGCCAGGAGAACGCTGTTGCCAGTCAGCTAAAGTGAAAAAAGGTCTCTCCACTTTTTCATTGTCACCAACAGGGTGGGAATGACTTTCGTATGTCCTGCCTTCGGAACAAGCTTCCTGCATTCAACAACACCTGGACGTCTTGTGCACTTCCGAGCATGAATGCACAACCAAAGCATGTGCGAGGACAACGAGCACATGCTGGAGGCTGGGCATTGGAAAGAGATGCCCCACCATTCTTATTCTGCGACTACAGAAGAAAAATATCACCTCCAGGTCTCGTTCGGACAACAGAGGAACTACCAACCAAGCTGGTAACAGGTTTGCATTTAATCTAGCCAGCGCAGCAAATGCTAGCCAGCAGAGTCCAAAATAGGTTAGTTTCGGCAAGATCCGATTTTCACTGCCCCTTTGCTTTTGGCATAGGGGGAGTGCTTTGAAAAGGTTACTTAGAATTCATTAGGAGAGCACTCGGCTCTTGTCCCGTTATTGAAAATTTGTTACATTAAGTTCTTCGCCAGCATGCCAGAGGCAACCTATGGGTGTCCATCCGGCGGTGTAAGCTACCAAAACCCACCAGGCACAGACTGATAAAGCCCACTCACTGCCCAATCTGTGATTATCAATAAATTGGTTACTTAAATTCTAGATCAGAAACATCCAGGTTGTGTCAGAATTTACTCTCCAACATGCCAACGTTCTAAGTTTAAAATACATTTCCAAGGGTGAAGAGTGCAGAGTGTGCACCCATTTTGCCGAATTAACATTCTGCACATTATAAAGCCAAAGTAACAACAATTACCTACTGCTTAAACATACAAGATTGGCACTAACTTTGTCAAAGGTAGCTAGGAGCAACCTAGCTGGGATGACTACAACATGGATTAAATCGGAGACAAGCCTAATAACTAAATTATGCGTGGTATCCTGAATATCACGCTGCACAATGACGCAGAAAGCCAATTAAGGCAGCATGTATTACTCGGAGCTCTCGTGCCAGAAAAACTGGCCACGAACACGCATGTTAGCAGCTTTGTCAGTGATAAACGGAACTAACAGAGGGAATGAATGCTCCTGAAGTTAGAGGTGCACCTTGCTATGGTTGAAAGAAAAAATGCGATACACAGAAGGAATCGCATTTCAAATATATTATGATTAGAGAAACTATAGAAATCGCATATGGCTGTCCCCCTAAACTACGAAACCATCCAGAATCATCCTGCACGCTGTCTTGAAAGAGGCAACTTGTTCCATGTCACTAGCGAGTCACATCACAGACAAACTCACCGGTTTCGGCATCTTGACTTGTTTTGTTGTCCGCCACCAAGAGAGGGTTAACTATTCCTGAAAAGAGAAGAATGCACCTAGATCAGGATTCAAATTTGCACACTATGTAACAAACACGGGTCAGTAGGCAGACCTGGATCAGTGTACAAACTGCCGACATACGCTCCCTCCTATTGTAAACTCTTGACAAGCTCTTATCTGTCTTGTAAGTTGACACAAGAGCATAACAAGTATTAACTCAAGAACCAACAAAACACGCTCAAGACACCTGGGTGTTCCGGGCGACAGCAGTGTGGGAAGTCAGGCATTTTAAAAGTCGCGTTTCGACGCGTGTGGCGGCGTCTTTGCTTCCTCGGGAAATCGGACCACGGCAAGGGCAACGACTGCTGTTACATGTGGGAAGAACGCAAACAGAAGGAGGCCACTGCGGGGTCAGATGTAAATCAGCAACTCCCCCACTCCTGGAGGCTTCGGCAGATTAGACAAGCCAAACAAAAAGGTGAACTGAGTAAAAAAATTACCTCATGACAAATGATTTCTCCAGTTCAGACAGACCTCTGCCAACCTCCTCCCACAACTACAGCTGCGCCTTTCTTGCGCAGATCAGTAACGTCCCGCATGAAACCGCGTACTGGTGGATGACATCCTTTACTAGAACAACCTACGCAACCTCTCGATGTATATATATTAATCAGAAAATACACATTTCACAGATTGTACGCCTCCAGACATGTCATACGCATAAGTTAAGCAGTCGGGTGTATTGTGTGCCTTCATATACTTCATGGATAACGACGCGAGCTAAATACTTGAATGCATTGTGAAAACCGTAAAATAATTCTTGCGCACGGTATGCAAAAAGTTTCAACAAAAGAAGTAACTATTATCAGGAAGCAACACTGACCACGGTTTGTCAGACCAAAGCCGCGGCTTTGGTCAGACTGAAGGTTGAAAAGCACGCGATCAAGTTCGGAACGGCTATTTGACCTCAAATACTCCAGTTGAGTCCTTAATTTGAGTTGCACAGCGTAGAGGCTCAAACGGGCCGACGAACCCGCCTTTTGTGCGACTGCGTTTGTTAACCCCGGCTTCATCCCGCCAATGCGACCGAACCCCCCGCATCCGAACATGTCTTTGAACTCAAAACAAACAAAAACAAAACGTGGCGAGGAAGGCGTAGCACAGGTGACACTCGCACGGGGCTCAGAAAAGCACCCCGAATACCTCAGCAGCACTTCGAGCGACAAACTGCGACCAACCCGGCACCATTACGTCATTCCCACCGTCTCGGCGCGTTATCATCGCCGCCTCCCCTAGAACCACACGAACGATTCATCCGCAGATTGCCCCGGAATACCACGCAACAGGAAGCATACCACGTCCTGCCCGTGCGTGATTCACGTAAAGTCAAACCGGAGCCGAACTTTCCTACGGTGGTGGAACCGCGTGAGCCACCACCGCCGCGACCCCGGGAATTTAGGACTACGCGAAGACGGGCTCACCAACAAAGCTTTTGCTGTCGGCGACCCGAGGGATACAGCGCTCACCGAAAGAAAGAAGCCGGCCGCCTCGCAAAAAGCGCGGCTCCAGATACAGTTTCGACTAATTTCCGAACGTGCAGAAAAGCACGACCGGCGGAAAATCCACAGTTGTCGGTGGCTTAACGGCTGGTTAGAAAGCAACCGGTTTTTTTGTATACGCGCCGACGCCGACGCCGCCGCGGCTACACCTCACCTTCGTGTGCCGCCGGAAAGAGGAAAGGAACCAAGAAAAAAAAGCGGCCCTTTTTACTCGAAAACTAAGTGCTGGCAGTCCCTCAAACTGTCGCGTCTCGAAAACTAACGAAGACACTGAGACTTTAAAACGAGAAAGCGGCGGAAACAAAGCTCGGCTGACGACAAACAGTCAGTGAAAAAGTCGGGTTCAGACGCAGTTTCCGCGAACCACGTCGTGCAAGTTCTCAAAAAAAGTTGGGGGCCCCCCGCAGGCGCACCGCGCGCGCCGGCTCACTCACGCGTTTCGCTGACTCCGTGCGGCAGACCCTGCCTCGGTCCTCACGTTCGGCAGGAACCGTACTCGACGAAAATTGAGCAATGACAGGACCCAACTCACCGCTAAACGACGTAAATTCTGCCGTGAAGTAGCTCCGCCACACTCGCGGTGACAACTCTCAGCAAAATGGCTGTCCGCAGGGTGTGGCAAATGCGCATGCGTGCGGCAACTCCCACTTTCCGCTTCTCCGGTTCGTCGCGACGCGGCGCTAGGGGCGTCGTTGATGCGCGTTGTTATCGCGCCATCGCAGATTGCGCGAGTGCCGGTAGCTCTCGCGTCGCCTGTTCGGTTGTCGGAGCAGCGGAAGATTTTTCTATTTTCGATTATTCGTTTAGCATGACGTGAATATTTCTTTTTATGCGGTCACCACTAGGATGATGAGGCTCTTGGTTATCTCCGAAACGGGATTCCAAAAGTACAAAGAGAGGGAAATAGAAAGGGAGGAATAAGTACGCGAGTACATAAAACATAATATGCTCCTGTCCTGCCAAGGGTGAGGTCAATGCCAAACGCGCGAAATGCTGGCAAGTGTTTGGACGATTCAATCGGCATGAAAAACACAGAAGAAAACATCCTTGCTCACGATTATCCATCTTTACTTCAACAATAATCTGTTGTGGTTGTTTTTTTGCATTTTTTTCTACGCGTTCGTTTATCTTTGGGAAAGGAGGAGAAGAGAACAATTATTATTATTATTATTATTATTATCGTCATCACATAGCAACTCTGGAGAACAACACTCCCCTCCCCCCCCCCCTTTTTCACCAAGTGTTTAAAAGTTTTATAAAAAAATATTATGGGGTCTCCTTTAATTTGTTTTTATTTCACAGCTATCGTAATGTGCATCGGGGCGTTTCGATACAAAACGAAAGGAAAGTCTGCTTTCACCACGTATTTTTATTTTAGAAAATGTTATATTCTCTTTGTGTAAAAACGATAATATTTATCAAGGATAACCGCGGCTCCCAGCACAAACTATGCTTGCTTTTTGCTGTTGTTTATTTTACTTGTTTATTTCTCTTTTCTTTTTCGGGGGGGGGGGGGGGGGGGGGGAGTTTTTTCGGTGACAGTTTGTGCTAATAATAAGGCGAATCATAAGAAAAAGGGGGTGCAAAAAAAAAGGGGGGGGGGGGGGGGCGAGAATTTGATCCAGAGAATTGTGTGCAAGGAATCTATGGCGACTGGGTCACAACAAAAAAGGAAGTATCAAAATAACGATTTCAATTTCCAGTGCAGCCTAGTCTGGTATTAATTTACAATCGGTTAACTTCAAGGAGACCGCCTACGCTCAGTCTGTTTCATCATAAATTCAAAGAGATCCTGTTTTCGTGTTGTCCGTTTGTTTATCAAAGGACTGAAATTATCCGACGCTTTCCCGAATAAGCGAGGCTGTTATTAGAGTGTTTTAGCAGACCGTTCCGATACCTCCGATACCCCCGATATCGATACCCGATAACGATACGATGCATGCGCTAAGGCGGCGGTGGAGTATCGGGTATCGCTATCGGAATCCTTGGAACGATTTACTAAAACGATAACTCCGATAACCAAACGATTCAGGTGCAAATGCGTCGGCGAAGTATCGGGTATCGTTATCCGAGTTACCAGAACAATCTACTAAAACTCCTCGAAATTATCTCTCGAACTTGCTCCTTCCAATAAAATAAGCTAAGCCGGTTCACCTCCCAAAATTATTTATTTAACTCTGAGATAAACACTGCAACGTGCTTCGTACTTTCTTCCTTTATATATTCTACCTTCGACTAGTCTGACCATTCGCCTACAATACAGGCTCACCGACAGGCTTTGTTATGTCTGAACCTGTCAGTCACACTTTGTTGCGGCTGTGTAACTGAGCCTTAAAGCTACCTCAACAGGGCGCGAGTTTATGATTTCGCGATGACACTGCACGCTCTAACGAACGCAAGCCAAGAGTTGGTGACGTCTCAAATAACGGCACATTTGATTTTCTGTCCCTCGCTTCACTGCAGTCCGTCGTTCCAGTGAAACGTGCGAAAAACTGCGTGTGCTCGTACACCAAGCGCCAATCAGAGCACATACACGAGCACTTTTTGCTTCCTCAGGAATGCGCACCCCTATAGCTTTATCAAAGCATAAATAGGCAATTCTCCAGCGTTTATCAATACGGCGATAAATGCCGAGTCACCACAGGTTGATAATGATGGGGGTTTTATGGCGACAAGCAACTTAGGCCATATTGCGCCACACAAAATTACTGAAGACTGCTATAGTGAGAAAGAGATATTAAAGAGTTTTCATGGTAAGAGTTATAGCTGATGTATATATCCGGTCTTTTTAAGTCAGAAACACGGTCAAGCGACACTAAAGGATGATCACCAAGCAGAAACATTGGATGAAATGGAAGGTGGCCTCTAAAAAGTTCAGAAAAACTTTGTCGGCGATGTTGGTGGTAAAATGTACAATGCCATAAAATGTGCAAAACTGTGATCAGTACTTCCCCACAATGGGCACAGAGCTTTACGTCTTCGCCACAAAGATGTAGATGAGCCACACAGGAATGGACAATCCTCAGGCGGCATAATAGAACCCCAGGTCGACGTTCCTTGTGGAACGATCTCCCCCACAGATCCAAGATGGGCCTGTGGGGGAGCATTAAGTTTATTGGTGCACTCCGCACCCCACTCCGATTGCCATGACTTCAAAATCGATTTCTTTATAAGTGGCCAAGGGTCCTGATAGGGTAGCGAAAAGATGTTGCCAAGTTCTTTGCACATGCAGCCAATTTATCTGCTCTCTCGTTCCCTGAAATTCCGACATGACTGGGTACCCAGCAGAATTTTATGGTGTGTCCGAGTTGGACAACCCGGTTTCTTTGTGGGAAGTCGAGAAGAAAGCCTGTATCACGCTCTGTGAATTGAAGAAGAGGTTAGCCTTTAATATGTTGTTGGTCATCATATGTTCAACGGCTAGAAAGACACCACAAAGCTCCACAGAGAAAATGCTTGCCACACCATCCATTCGCA